TTAGAAACATGATATGGAATGAAGAGTCGATCACTTAACTCCGTAGTGTTTGAGGACATGCCAAAGATAGACACCAGCAAAGTGAAAATACGTGTACGCTACACTCTACCATTATTCTTCGATAAAGGCGAAATCGCAAATCAAGCAGTTGAGAATGTGCGTAGTATCTGTGGTTCTGACACTCAAACAGCCAATCAAGAATAATTTTTGTTTCATCGATTTCGTTCATTGAAGAAAATGGCAATAAAATAATGGAAATCGTGGAGTGTGGCTGTCATGTCTGTACTGTTTCGATTGCTCAAGAGCTGAGCTTTGCTCAAAAATCGCTGTTGAATCGTATGAAAATCGGCCCAAGAGTGGATAACTGACAACAACGTTCCACGAAAATGGTGGTAGGGAAAAGCCAATGAGCCGGCACAAATGTTTTCCAAGCCAGAAATGACGGTTAAGAATTATTTATTGTGTATTTTGTGGATTTTACAAAAAACTATTAGCGAAAATCCTTATTTGGACCTGTACTGCCTGCGAAAATGAGCCATCAGAAGAAAGCAATCGCCCAGCCTTGGCCAGGGGGAGTGAAATTGTGTCTCATGAGGACAACACCAGACCACATACATGGAAAGTGACTCGCCAGAAGTTCCGAGGGCTTAACTGGGAGGTTCGTATGCATCCACCTTTGTTGTCCGAAACTCGCTCCAAGGGATTATCATCTGTTTCTGCTTATGGCGAAAGATTTAGCTGATAAAGAATAGAAAATCGATTTTCCCTATTTGTTTGCTATGGCATGTTTGGCATGTGTTTATATGATGATGGCATAGTGACATTATATTCAAAATTGCAAAAATATATTAGGTGTAGTAATATTACTTCGTTATTGTATTTTATTTTAGAATTTTATTTTTCTACTATTTTTATTTTCACATGCGAAGTTGTAGTGAATCAGAGTTTTTGATAGCAAAATTTTTCTAGTGTACATTTTTTTAATTATTAAAATTAATATTTATTTGGTATATATGTATATGTATATTTCCCCATATCTATCTACTTACATTTTTACGTTCTCCCTTCGTACCTTCACAAATAAATTAATCGTCAGTCTCTTGGTAAAGAAAAAAAAAGTTTAATTTGTTGTTTTCCAACAACAATATTTAGTTGTATAGTTGGTAAATTGTAACATTAGCTAAAAATATTTATTACTATTTATTTGCTACCTTATAAAAGGTAATCAACGGGTGTTCACATATGTAATAAAGAGACCAATTAAAATCGCCAAATATGACTAAGCGACCAAATGTGTTAATTCGCGACCGACAGTATCGTAGCCAATTGGTTGGCAAATAAACCAATAGAGACGAGAGTCAAATAATAAAAATAAAGATGAAAATAATTAAATTATTTTTATTTTCAATGCCAAATTAGTAAGTTAATGTGAACTGAAAGGATTGGGAGCAGTACGAACCATGTTCATGCGACAAAAATGTCAAGTAAATCGACAATAATGTATTCTAGTGTACTCAAGCCCTAGATAACCAAATATCGATACTCGCTTGTACTCGTTCTTTGCTCAACGTTCCGAATGTTTATTTTAAACTTTTGTATTAAAACTTTATATTTAAACTTTAATTAAACAATTCGAGCAGCAAAGCCAACATTTTCATTACTTGTCAAAATTACTTTAGAATTTCAATGGGTTTTAGTTTAATTAATTAATTTTTCGTTAAAACTGCTCGAAAAGCCACGGACGAGTATGCAAGTACTCGTTACTTAAAATGGAACAAATACTTAGTTATATGAAAATTAACCCTTGCTTTTAAGAAGTGCTAATTTTTTTGGCATCTTAAAAATCGCAAATCTTATTATCTACATATTTACTTTGATGAATGTTTGTAAAGAGACTTATTTATGTGTATTAAAAAGATGCAATATTAACATAAAATTAATACAATATTTAAGATTATTTCTGAAAGTTTCGATTGCTTGGCATTAAATAATAGCTTTGTCTAGATACATAATTAATTAATAATTTTCATATTAGACAATTTTTTAAATTTTTTTTTGCTTATATTTGATTGTAGGAGGAAACCGTCAGTCAAGAGTATTTAATATTAACTTTTTATAACTACTAAAATTATTATAATATTTTCAGAATTATCACTTACTAAATTAAAAGTAGTAAACTCAATCACGAAATTAATATTGAAAATTATAAAAGAAGCATAAAAGAAGAATTAGCAGGCTTCTCAACCCATTAAAAAAATTTGTTTTTAAATCATAGTTAATATATATATATATTAATAAACAACTAAAAAATTTATGGTTTCTAGTATTCTAATATTAAAATCCACTATTCTGAAATATATAAATATTTATTGTCGATTTTAATTATTACGCCAAGTATTTCTAATAATTTCTTTGAGTTTTAAAATATCTTTATTGAAAAAAAAAAATTAAAAATCAAAAACATTAATTCGAAATTGTTGGTAAAATTTTTCAAAAGAGCGATGATTTCAAAGAAAACTTTGAACAGTTGAGCACCGAAAGAGTTTCAAGCGAGTGTCGATCTAGAGCTTAAAATGTAGGAGAAAATACTCATCAGGTATGCTTTTTGTGCCTTCAAAAAGATCTTTTTGTCCTGCCGGTTAATTACGGGTAGTTAAGTGATGAAGAGATTTTCATAGTATTTTCTTTGATCAAGGCGAAAAAGTAGCCAAAGCGGCTGAAAAAATTAATTTACTTTATGGGCCCAATACTGTAACCGAACGTGTAGCACAAAAGCGGTTTGCACGGTTCCGTTTCGGTAATTTTGATGTCAAATATGCACCAGGTTCGGCTGTGTGTTTGGTGGCATGGGCAAGGAATCATCTACTACGAGCTGCTCCTCTATGGCCAAACGATCAATTCTGCCCTCTACTGCCAACAACTGGACCGCTTGAAGGCAGCACTTATCCAGAAGAGGCAATCATTGATCAACAGAGGTCAAATTGTGTTCCATCAGAACAACGCCAGGCCACTCACGTGTTTGGTGGCACGTCAGTAGCTCCAGGAGCTCGGATGGGAGGCCCCAATGCACCCACCTTATAGTGCGGACCTTGCACCAAGTGATTATCATCTTTTCCTGTCCATGGCGAGCGCACTTAATGGTGAGAAGTTGGCCTCAAGAGAGGCCTGTGAAAATCGGCTCTTCGAGTTTTTTGCCAATAGGGACGCAGCTTTCTACGAGAGGAGTATAATGAAGTTGGCTTTTCGTTGGCAACAAGTTTACGAACAAAAGGGCGTATATTTCACCTAAATCGGACAAATGTACACAAAGTTAATATATTTTGAAAAATCAATAAAAAACAACCGAACGAACTTCTTACTTGACCTAATATATCTAATATATGCAATTCATCTGAGCATAATTTTTTAGAAATCATTTAATCGCTAACTGGATGAAATATTACAGAGTTTCCATATATAGTTAACCTCAGTAGCAGTCTTATTCAATATCGTCCTCTTGCGTTACTTATTAGTGCGTATATGAGGAGAGAACAAGAATAATTCAGTGAAAAAAAATTTTTCTAAAGATTACAAGAATTTTTTTATTAAGCTCAATTTGCATTAATTTTGAAATAAGAAATGTAAATGAATTTTTCTCCCTCTCGCAACTTTTTTCCTCAACCACCACTGCTGACCAACTCGCTCTTATGATTTCCTATCGTTTATAATATAAATTATAATAACTCATTTTTAACACGAACTGAAGACATTTTAAATTTTACCTCAATATGAACAAACACACAAACATATGAATAATACAAAAATTAACATACGTATATATGTACAATAGTATATGTATGTATATTAGAAATTGGCTGCTTAAATTAGTCAAGGTCGTAATTCGGTGGCTATTTCGATTAAACTAATTTGTAAAATGTATAGAATCTGTTTTAAATTGTATGGTCATTGACTACATATGTACATTTGTGTATATATGTACATATGTATGTATGTATGTATATGTGCAGATGATTGAAAATCATATTTTAGAATGTGAACTTAACGTATTGTATACCGGCTTGAATTATTGGACACAAACAAAATTTTTATACTCCAGACATAGTTCAAATGTATGTTTGTATGCATATTTATGTATCTTTTATTTTTCATATTGTTCACAGCTTTGTCAAGGTGCTGTGATGTAAATTTTTTATTATGCCGCTAATGGACATATTTATTTATAGCTTTGTGTGAATGTAAGTTCAGCATAAAAATGGGACACGCACTACCTTCGCAAGAAAAAGAGGTAAGGGAGTGTGACAAAAGTGAATGGGGGGATTAATAAGACTTGGCAAAAGATAATAAATTAATGTAATTTATACATAAAAAATATTTTTGAAAATCAAAAAATATCTCACTTAAGCGAAAACTTGCAGCACAATTTGCTCATTATCAAATAGTAATTATTTAAATAAAAAAATATATAAATAAATTTCGTTTTTAGTCTCGTTTGTACTAGTTTCCCTTAACCCGCAAATTTACATATTAATTCTATGCACATATTAATGAAAGTATTTTTGCACACGTTTTTATTGCGCGTTGCTTCGTCTTGATTTATATTTTTGATATTGCCTCACGTTGGCTCAATAGTCGGCAAGACATTCTTTTGCGAAGCAAATTTTTTTTTTAATTTCAACATTTGTTGAAGAAATGTCGGTGAATTTATTGCCATCATTAAAATGAGGAAAATAATTATAACAAGAGATTAAGCCATCTGTACGCATCTGTAATTATTAAGCAATTAACCGTCAGCTCAGCTTGTATGCATATCTTAGTAAGCGGCATCTCTAGTAAACTGCTTTATTTATTTGTGTTGTTTTTAGTTAATTTAATTTTTTTTTTATTTCTCAAGCACTTTCTTTCAAACACTTTTCTTTTCTGTGCGCGCCACTTTTTCTAAGTATTCAAATTTTATATTACTTCCTCTACTCGACTTGAACTATTTACACATAAACACTCACACTTACTTTTGCAGCTGTTAGTTGCCGTTAGACGTTTGATTTTTTTTTCTCGAAAATCACTAATCTTCACACAAATCGATTTAATTAAATTTAACTACTTTTTGAATTAAATTTTCAATTTAATTTGATTTTCAATTTAAAAAGAATTTCAGTTTCCTGCTCAAAACGAAAATTTGTAGTTCTCTACAGCGTATAGTATAATTAAAATATTGTAATGTTTAACCAACTGAAGTAACTCGCTGGTTTTTGGCTGCAGTAGCGCGCATGCCAAAAAATCCGTCAGTTTAGTAAGATGGCCACGAAGTAACTGTTTGACTACAAATTACTACGCTCAGTTTAAAAGTGGCGGCAAACAGTCAGCAAACAGCAACAACAGCACCAGAAGAAAAACAAATCAGCAACAGCAATGTGAAAAAATAAGAGTAAAACTCGCTACATCGTTGAGTTGACTGCAATCTCATTGTGGCAGTGATTTGGCTGCTTTGCAACAACAATCACATAAGCAATATAAAACAGTGAAAAAAAAAAAATATAAATATTAATACCAAAGAAAATCTCTTGAAAACCATACGAAATAAAAGAGACCAAACAAGCGAGTGTGTAAAAAAAAGTTCACCAAAAGCCAAAGACCAGTGATTGCAGCTCTTGTGCCAGTTATACTCGTACATGAGAGGCTTGCACTCGTACACTGGTTGTTGGCGTGAGGCGTGCAATATTGTCGCGGTGTTGCTGCTGCGGCCACGAGTTGAGCGTGTTAGCGCGCGATTTGTTGCACTCTGAGTTTGAGTACAGTAAGGCGTTGAAAAATTATCCCTACTAACTTTTCTAGTCTTCAAGCAAACATGAAAATTAAAATATTTTAGTAAAAAATTAATGTCAAGCAATATTTGAAAAATTTGAAAAACAAAATTTTTTCTTACGGATTTATTTTTAGCAAAATGTGAAAGAGACATTTTTCGATATAAGTATTAAGTAAACTACGAAGCCGGGTTGTTTGTATGAATTGAATTTTTTTTATACAACAAAGAAAAATGGTAAAAGTGTGTGCTTTTTTGGAGATCACCACATCTCCTCATCAGACTTCTTATGGCAGAGATCGGACCAACGGATCCTGACTTAACAGGCGAGTGTTCTACCACTGCGCCAACATCAGCCATATAATCTATTGTTGTATTATTCAATTCATTATTAACCAACAACTATTAAATGCGCTAATTTAGCCGCTATTTTCTTAATAGATTGGTTCGATAAATTTTTTATTTGGCTTATTTTCTCTTTTAGCAAAATTTTTGCTTATCAACTTTTAATGCTTAAAAACATTTTATTGTTGCACTATTTTTTACCAACGTTTCTAATTTTTTATAATTTGTTTTAAGAAGCATTATTTTGCATTGAGCAATATTTTAAGATTATAAATAATTTTTTTATGTTACTTTTTTCTTAATAATATTGATTACATAAAAATTTTTGCTAATCTAACTTGGCTTGGACATAAGTTTCCTTCCTGAAAATGCTTTCCTTCTTTAGAAAAGGTTCAGTGTGGCACAATTCTCCCTACAATTAATAAGTTTTTTTTTTTTAATTATTTATTGTGTAGGAATTTTTTGCAAAATAAAATTGGCTTTGAGACAGTTTTTCTCTAGAAAAATTTTTTTTATTTAGAAAATTTCTGGTTACAACAATTTGCACTATATTTTACTATTTTTTTATACATTATATTTTCGTGGAGATTGGTCTAGTAAAGAGGAGTATATTATTGCCATAGTTAGTGTTTATTTATTATACATATATGTTGGCGGCCGCGGTAGCCGAGTGGTTAGCATTGCGTGGTGTCATTCGGAAGGCCCGAGTTCAAGTCCCCGTAAAAATTAATTTAAAAAAAAATTAAGTTAAATTTTCTAATTGCGGTCGCCCCTCGGCAGGGAATATCGGATGGGTTGACGTTTGTGACATGAAATAAAGCTCTTCATAAAAAAAACTGTCAGCCGTTCAGAGCCGGCTTAGTATGAACCGTAAGTCCTTCCATTTCCGTGGAAAACATCAAGACTCAAAATCGATTTTCACACGCTACTCATAAGAAAAATAATTCACCAGCCGAATTATCGCTTGGGGCAAGACCCGAAATGTAAGGTGAATGTATAACCAAGTTCTCTGAGCTTCTGCCTGGTCCGTATCTATGTATGTTTGTGGTCTGGCGATATACTGACGAAACATAATTCCCCTCCTGTTGATCAAAGCTGAGTGAAATGTCCGAGTTAAGAGAAGGCAGGAGGGGAGCAGCTCATAGCGAATTATTTTTTTCCTATCCCGCCAAACCCAGAACAAAACCTTTCTGGCCTTCAAATCTGGTTTGGAGACCGGTTTCTAAGGCTCACTGCCACCATCCGCTTCAGAAACTGGTTTACAGACCAGCAGTGATTCTTAGATTGAAACTCGGTCCGTGGGGCTTTTTCTCTTTAACTTATGGCGTACCAATACATTGACCTCCTTTCTATATCTAATGATTTTCAAGTGGTTCCAAACTGTTCATTGTGCAATGTTTAGCTCTTGGGCAATCGATACCTTCCACACCATAATTGTGAACGATTGACTGTTACAGCAAGAGTTCCATAAGCACTATTCACATTTTCAGCTGTCTGACTAGCGTTTTCACTTGTATAGAGTAGGAGTATACTATCCTAATCCAATTGCACTTTCAGAATGCGACATACCAAAGCCATCTTATGCAAAGGAAGATATGATCTTTTCCTTGACCTAATGTTTTCATTATTTTTTTTACACAATTTTTATTTGAACATTGGTATAGTATAATGAGTTGTCAAATTTTTTCACAACATTCACTCAGCACTCTTTTATTCCCTGTTGTTTGACATTTCGCTGTACAAAACCTTTCAAGTGAATGACTTTGATAAAACTGTGGAGCTTACCTAAAACCGTTTAGGTGCAATTTGTGCAATTTACGCCACAAGTCTTTCATAATTAAGAAGGCTCTTCAATTACACACACAATTTACTCGAATGATCATCAACTCAATCAGCAATGTTGCCTAGTTGTGTACGTGGCGAAGAAAATTACAAAGTCTTTAGTGACAATGTTGTGGAGAATAATTGTGACCTTACAGTTTATACATTGAATTGTGGAAAAGAGCAGTAACAGTAAGAAAATGTTGCGTTTATGTCGTGAAGCTTTTCAGAAATTGATATTTCAAATAATGAAAAGTTCTCCGAAATGGTAAGTGTCAGGGCATGGTCAAAAATATATCAGCTTCATGCTAGTAAAAAATTGAGCATGGTTTCATTGTTAAAAAAAATTAAGAAAAGCACATTATGAAAGCTCAACTATAGACTATTTACTAAGCTACTTAAAACTAAAATAAGGATGAGTATCTTGTTAGTGGCTTTTTTTGTTTTTCACCACTTTGATAGTTTTGCGACTAGTAAAATTCGTGCTGCAAACACTAGTAGTAAACTGGTATAAATTCCGCCTAGTTGAGGATTCGCTGAAGGGCGAATATTTTTTAATGTTTCGTTAATTTTTAGAGATCCTTATATTCAAAAACAATTTACCTTTATTTTTTAATATATCTTTAATTAAACAATAACAGCCAGTGCATAGTATAATTGTTCACAATTCAAATAGCACACTGTAATGAATTTGCATTGGTCAATGTAAACAACGTAAAAAACCCCTTGACGCCAAAACACATTTGAATATGCTTCTATACTTTAAGTTCATGCATCGTATCAACATCACAGAGAATAACGGTTGTTTGAAAATTCGCTGGTTCTATACTCACCTAACTATTTTTCTCACTACAACAAATTTTTACGGTAAACATTTTTCTCACAATCTCGTTATTCTCATAACATATAACTAAGATTTTCGCTCTGATAAACGAAATAAATACATAAGATTCTCATAGAATGCTGACTCTTAGAAAGATTTTTAAAACAATTTAACTGTAAAAAACATATGCAAATTTATAAAAAGTAAATAAATAATAAATAAAAGCTGTTCTAAAAAATTTGTAATAAAATTATAATATTAATTCATAATAAAAACATAAGCGAATTTATAAGAAATAAATAAATAATAAATTCTTAAAACTTAACATTTCCTCTTAAGACTATATCAGTGAAGTTAATTGGCTCGTTAATTTGTCAAAAATAATTGCGCATTAATTAATAGCAAACTGCGATTTTATTTACATAATGGCATGAATATACATCCGCGCGGTATGGTTCATAATAATAGTAATAAAAAATAAAACTTTACACCCGAAGCCATAAAATATATAAAATAACTATTTGAGCGAGTATAAAATATTTGCCTTGCAAAGTTTGTGTGTAATCCTTTTCTGTTTAACCAATCTCATATGGCTGTATGTATGTTATTATTATTTTTTTTTTTTACTGCAGACTCCGGTTATTATTTTGTTTATGTCTGCCTACCAGCAGCGCTGACGGCTTTTGCTATGACTTTAGACATGAAGGCTCATGCCTAGTGGGCTCGTTTACATTGGATTAAGGACAATGGAAATAAGTATGAAAAATATCAAGAAGATAAATTAAATTAAATTAAATTAAATTAATATAACTAAAATTAAGTAGACTAAATAAATATTAATTAATATTAAATGAATGAAATCCAGGGAAAAATACAATTAAATACCATTTTATTTAAATAAACTAAACGAATTGAAATAAAACAAAACTTAAAAAAATTTAAAAATTAAATAGAAATAAAAATAATGAAATTAAATTAAATTAAATTTCAGAATATATAGTAAATTAAAAAAAATTAATTAAAATAAAATATAATAAGAAAATAACACAAATCATTTTTACGAAGAGCTTTTATTTCCCGCCAGAAATTCCCTCAGAGGGCATGTTTTTTCTTGCTTAGGGGCAACCGCAATCAGATAAATTAATTTTGGTTGATTGTAGAAACAAAACTCAAGCCCAGGTCTTCCGAATAGCACTAAGCAACGCTAACTGCATTGTGTTTATAAAAATTTAAACTAAATATAAAAGAGAAAAAAGGGATATGAACAAAAAAAAAACGATTTAAAATACTAATTACAATCAAGGAAGTAAAATAAATTAATTTAAATGAAATAAAATTAGTTACGACAAAATCAATTAAATTAAATTAAATAAGAACGATATTAGTAATATCCCACTGTACGAGTGTTGTATATATATATTGTGCAGAAAATCTTACTTTTTTTCGCCAATAAGAAAGTTAAAATTTTTTGAAAACAAGTCCTGTTAAAAAAAATTTTACATACACAAAATACGTAATGGCAAATGTAGCTC